TTTTTTTTTCTCATATTTTATATTATTTTTATTTTCTCCACCTTTCTCCTTATCATTAAAAGTAACAATTAACCATAAATACTAAAAAATGATTAAAAGGGTATGGAATAAGAATGAATAAAAATGATAAAAATAAAATGTAAAGGACCAAACTAAATTTTTTATAAAAGTTTTAGAGGAGGTCTGTGCCCTTTGAGGCTCCCCCGTCTCCGCCGGTGACTGAAGATTTAGTAAGCGTATGAATGGAAGAAAGCCAAACTAAACCTAAAATTAGGCCTCCCAAATTGAAAATAATCAAAGTCAAAGCAAAACAGAGATGCAAGATAATCCGTATTATTGCTCAAAAAGGCAGCTGGAGGAAGACGCTGTTTTCCCAGCAGAGATTAAGTGCTTCTTTAACAGTTTTGTTTACCTTGAAAGTTTTGACAATGTAAGTTCTTAACATCATTTTTCAACAGGAAATTGCATCCAGCACACCCATTCCTTTGAACTTTTTCTCATTTATGATCTCATCCAAATTGTTATGAAAAATCCACATAAACCCCATTTTATTTTTGCTATAAATACACTCTCCTGTTTTCCCTCTCCCCAAACAAGCCATTATTTTATAGCTTTTGCTCTGACTTTCCTCATCAAGTACATTTTCACCATGAAATCATCAAAAATCCTGTTTTTCTTCCTTTTAACAGTGGCCTTGGCCACCATTTTATCAGCAAAGCATCTTCCCCTGCCCAGAACTGGCCGTTTCCTTGCTGATAAGCCCCGGGTGCAGTCCACATGTGACCAGTTCCCCACCGTCTGCCGCAGCAAGGGCAGTTCCGGGCCGGACTGCTGCAACAAACAGTGTGTAGATGTCATGACGGATAGGGACAACTGTGGAAAGTGCGGTAAGAAATGCGGCTACTCCGAGATGTGCTGTGACGGCGGCTGTGTGAAGCCCAGCGTGGATGAGAAGCATTGCGGCCGGTGCAACCACCGGTGCAATAAAGGAAGCTCTTGTGTTTATGGGTTGTGCAGCTACGCCTAGCTAGAAAATTCTGGCTTTTTCTAGCTAGAATGCTTCGGCTTCCCTCGAATGTCTTGTGTTTTTCTAGTTTAATTTTATATTAATTACAATAATTAGAAAAAAGAAATATGGGTGTGATACTAATAAGAGGTTGATGTTTTACGATTTAAAACCATTGAAATTATAAACTTCTCAATACCATAATAAATGGGCTTGTGATGTTCATATTAAGGAACCCACTAATCAAGTGATTATTATGATTTTATAATTTTAATTTAGATTGTAAGATACTTTTTCTAATAAAGGCAAAAGCAATTGTTCTACACGTAAAGAAGAATTTTATAACAATCTTGTCTCCTTGGATTGAAAATAGATACAATAAGGTGGTCAAGATTTAAATTACAAATAAGGTAGTGTTTGCAATAAAATATTGTTTTAAATGTTATTATTGATCTACTTCTATTCTAGAATGATAATTGCATTTTATTTTTATATTAATTGTTATTTTTTTAATTAATAAATAAATAAATAATATTTT